AACGACCAACATTTCAAGATATTCATCGATTTTTATATCAACAACAACAATCACAGTCAAATTAATTTTCTGAGAAATTATATTAAAAGAATTCATTTTTATTTTTTAGTATTTTGTCTATATGTCAGTCATTTTGCTTTGTTTATTAATGCTCAATAAATAATCTAAAAAAAAACAAATGTCTTCATCATTGTCATTGTTTCAAAGATAAATGCTCAATAAGATTATGAATTGTAATCAATGTCGAATATTAAGAAAATTTAATAAACCAAATATTGATATTAGGAAATTTTCATATTCAATAAAGAATATGAAATTAACATTAATCTGAAAGTTTTTATTATATTACGATGATTAAAACCGGGTTCAAATAAACAATAATTTGACTATTTGAATAAGAGTTTGAATACTTTTCGAGTAATACTTTTTAAAATTCAGTTCCTTATTCAACTAAACATAGAATTTTTGCCGATGGATGTTTGCATACCATTGTGTAAGCCGATTTTTTTTTGAACAAAATGAAAAGAAAATAGTATGTAAAAGAGTTATGTCATTACTTGATATTTCAATCACATTGAAGTTGCGCTTTACTAGTGCCGTGCAACTGGATTGGGTATTCGGAATTCAACTCAGCCCAAAGCAGGGGTCTGGTACAAACTCGTTGAACCGGATCTGAGATCATACTCAGCAACCGACTGAGTAACATATGAGATCGCGACATTTCAAAATACTTTTACTGTTTCATACTGCTGTATATATATATATATATATATGTATAGGAACGAAATTAGGTTTGATTCTTAATCGAGCACTGTGTTGTACTTGAAAATAGGTGAAAGAAAGGGAAAACAATATTGTTTTACTACGAGACATTATTTTTAATGAAAATTCATCTACAGTTGATGAGGAACCATATGGCGAAGTAATTGAATACATGAACAGGAAAATGAATTATTAAAAAGGCAAACATGTACATTGTGATGGAAAAAGCATTCATGCATGCATCTACAATTATCATATTTGACACCAAGACTGCGTTCCATTCTAGCATCATCACCAAAAAGTAAAGGTATACTTAGCAAAATCGATTGGACTTCAGAAGCAGAAAGATGCCAAGTGAATCTTGATTCGCTTGTCTTTTTGTTACTCTTTATGGAAGAAGCTAAACAATATAATTTTTCATATAAAATAAAAGTTTAAGATCTGTACTATGATTGTGAAAGTATCTATCGGATATCGCTTAGTTTCGACTTCTCGTCAGGTCCGAATACGAAAAATCATACCCGTGCAGAACACTATGTTTTGAGTTCTAATAGAGAGAAAAAAAAACAAGATGATTTCAATAATGATTATCGATAATTACATTTTCAAGGTTTATTAGAACGGAACATGACTCAACATTTTATCATTTTCTATACAAACAATATAATGCAACTATGCGGTTGCTAAAAAAATGTAGGAAATGATGCATCATACATTCTTTGTAAATAACAATCAATCTGATAAAATACTTACTTCGTAGGTTTTCCATTATTGACATGAGATTTCATGGTTTAACATATTTTAGAAAAAACAAACGAAATTTTTAATAAACGAAAACAAAATAGATTAATAAGCATGTGTATTATCATTATCAAACAAGGAAGTTTTAGATACTCATTTGATTCAAGATCAAACACTCAGTGTCATATATGTAATCATATCATAAATAGGAACGACATTTTATCTGGATTTTATTTTCAAAAAGTAAATAAAAGTTAATATAACATCTTTTTTCAATTTTTATTTACTACAATTCCCACTTATTTGATGACGAAAATAATGACTTTGCTATGTTGTAGTGTTATTATCGCTTGATGCTGAATTAAACCATTAGCAAAATAATGTTTGAATTACAATATTTTACTTAATATGCTAAATTAAAGATAAAGTACTATCTCTATTTGTGATCACATATTGAAAAAAAAACACAAAGATATAGTTTCAACCCATACTGTTTTATCTATCTAAAATAATTTTAAGCAAGCACAAAAAATGAACTAATATTCTGTCCAAAAACTTTCACATGACTTATTAAATATTGTCATCAATCTATTGGAATCAATCGCTTTCGAAAGTACTCAACTTTTTTGTTAAAAAGAATCATGACATCTCTTTCGCTTAAACGAAGAATAGCTACAAAAAATAGTCAGAAAGAAAATATATTATATATTATGCTTCGTAAATTAAATAATTTAAATTTCTTTTGCAATGGATGAAAACAGATCCTACACGTAGGTTCCAATACTGGGTAGGAGTGAAACTTCATAGCGTATGAAGATTATCAAAATAAAATGCGTCAAGGTTCTTTTGATGATATTTATCGGTAATCATTATTCTTGTTCACTTCTTGAATATATATACAGGGTGTTCCAAAAGCTCAGGGCAAAATTTAACGTAAATATCTCTTATACAATTCAAGCGATTTGACTATTTTTTTGAAATATCAATAAACCATTTAAATAAAAATAGACTTTGTTCGAAAAGACTAACTCTCTTTATTGTTGATATTTATTATAACATTAGTATCAAAGTGATATAATCTCAATTCGATCTTGTAAGTATTCTTTGTGAAGTTGTTGGACAAATTGTATCTTGCATGGCTTCATTAGAAGATATTCAGTTATAGTTCTGTCTGCTATTGTTCGTGGAATGAAGTAAACTGTAGCAATAACTCAAACACTCGATAATGACATATTTTCACAAACATGATGAGCTTCATCAATTTTCTCTTCTGTCATTTTTGAAGGTTTTTCAGATTGCTGTTCATTCACTACTATACTGATTTCACAAAACTTCAAAGATCATATTATAAAGAAAATAATCAGATTACTTGAATTGTATAAGAGACATTTACGTTACATTTTCTGTCAGACTTTTGAAACACCCTGTATAAACGATATATATAGACCATGTATAGTAAAAGACTAGGTAAGTTCTTTTCAGAATAAGTTCAATAATTTTTGTCATCAAAATGAAGGCCACTGAAAATGAATATTGTCAATAGTCACATCACCAAATTGAACGATCTCAGCAATCAAGCTTGCCGAATTTTGACAAAAATGCATACTGACTGAATAATTTTCAATTACTGGTGGAGATCCCTAGACTTCCTACTCCACAGGGCATAGGTTGAAGAAGATCAGAACTAAATGATGTACAACAATCGTCGAGAATAACATTGAGAGGTCTATATTTCAATGTGTATCAGAAACGGTATTAATGAATCGATTGCTTGCATGTTTGTTTCTAATGTTAATGTATTATTCGTTTCTACTCTGCCCAACAGCATACATCAGAACAACGTATAATTTTTTTTCTCGTGTTAATGTTATAGAGTAGTGTCAAAATAATACCAGGAGACGAAAGTGAATAAATTTTATTTTTTTCGTACTGTACTTCCTATTTACGTATATGATTTATGAATAGGAGTATCGGAAAATGTTGTATTATATAGTATCGTACTCTTTGTACCTTTTTTTTGTTCGAGGTAAATATTTTGAAAACTCTCGTTTTCTCCGAAAGTGATTACTTTCATACTTTAGTTACAGTCAATCTTCGACTCATTTTGAAATTTCAATATACTTTGACAAATCTTCATTAATTAGATGATTTTATGGATGTATAATTCACTGCCATTTCTATAAAACTGTGCACATTTTTGAGTACAGCAAACATGCAGAAAATATTCAATCATTGTTGTTGATAACTTTAAGAAAGAATTATGTTAGCAAAATTGATAATTCAGATGTATGTATAAAAATACATCGAGAAGTAAAATTTCCAAAAAAGCGACATAATATTCATAAGCCTTGATCTATAATGAATTCGTAAATATTTATTAAAAATGAGTTCTTCACGTCAATTCNCTGTGCACATTTTCGAGTACAGAAAACGTGCAGAAAATATTCAATCATTGTTGTTGATAACTTTAAGAAAGGATTATATTAGTAAAATTGATAATTCAGATGTATGTATAAAAATACATCGAGAAGTAAAATTTCCAAAAAAGCGACATAATATTCATAAGCCTTGATCTATAATGAATTCGTAAATATTTATTAAAAATGAGTTCTTCACGTCAATTCTACAGTCAATAGCAAATATCTGATAAATAATGTATTTCAAAAATTTGAAGAACATAGATTTTGTATTGAAACTGAAACTTCAGTTTCTGTACTTTTGGATTGGAAGACAATACTATGTATAAAAATGTTGATTGATTTTATTTTTGATGATAGGTCAATTGTAAACATTCAAATAAACATGAAAAATTTGAAATCTATTTTTGTTTATAGGTATTTAAAGCATATATTTAATCTCGAATGTATGGCAATATTACGGAAGTCTTGAAGCATTACTAGTAGTTATGTTGATATTTATTCTTTCGAAACTAATCGGAGAGCAAATAGAATAATTTCATTGATTTCTTTTGATGCTTTATAATAGCAGTTTCATATGCTTATATAAGCAAAAATTGTTTTTTTTCCAAGTCAAAATAAAACAAATACAACTTTCTCAGAATTGAAAATAAACTGATTCTCTTCAAAATCGATGTAATGACCTATTAAAAAAACTCATCAGATTCGAATCGTCATTTATCCATGGATTACGTGAATAATCTGAAGAATACTTCCAATCCTAAATCACATCGAATATTATCTATAGGTGGAAATGTTTCTCTTATTGTAGTTGAAAATCCTTCAACACGTTTCCATTTGGACGACGAAAATTTATATCTCAATTTTTTGGATGATTGCTTCGTTTTCCGTTATACGAACTTATCACAATGTATAAAATATTTTAAAAAAGTCTCTCGACGAGAATATGTAATTCTTCTATTCTATGGATTTGATAAAGACAGTATAGATTCTATGATCTCGCAACTTGACCGATGTGAACAGTTGCAAGCCATTTTTATTCTTTATTCTTCTGACGACGAAGATGATGTTCAATATAAGATGTATAACAATAATGGCAGTAAGTGTTCGAATGGAACTGATACTCGATTAATTAAAAGTTTCCATGAATGGAAATCACTGTCTACAAATTTACAAGAGCATGTTATTGAAGTAAAAAATAGTCTAAAAGATACCGGTCTTTTCAACATATGTAATTCACCAGAAAAAGCTCTGCGAGATCTTCGACGGGAATTAGGCTCGTTTGTTTGGACTCAAACATTTCGAGGTTAGAATCTACTAATATATTAGTAGTTTGTTCTTAACTTATATAATAATGTTTTTTAGTGCTTCTTGTGGCCATGCCTCACAATTCATTGGAAGCTAAACGACAAATGTTGCGAGAATGTCGAAAATGTTATAATGGCAATTCTTTTCAAAAGAAGAAGATTACAGAATTTGAAAAAACATATCGAGCCTGCGATGCTATACGCTGGTATACAAAACCATGTTTTCTTTCAACTTTAGTTAACAAAACATTGCGTTCAGAAAATGTACATGCTCTATATCTGTTCCGTTATTTTATTTTTGATTTGTGTGAAAGTCTCGCCAAGGCACGATATTCTAGTTCAACACCGATATCTGTTTATCGTGGTACAATACTTCATCGAGATGAAGTTGAACAACTACGTGTCGGCTCACTTGTCTCTACCAATGGTTTTCTTTCTTCATCATGTTTTCTAGAAGTTGCTTTGTCTTTTATAAATTCTGATCAAGCAAACGATATTCAAATCAATCGAAATCGTGAGAGTTCTGAACAACTCGTTCTGTTTAAAATTGTTATTGATATAAATCAATCGCCCGATGTTGTTGTTGCAGATATAAGTAGTGAAAGTCTAATACCGGACGAAAAGGAATTTTTGTTTGATCTTGGTACTACATTTATTATTACCAATACCTACTATGATGATCAAAATTGTATGTGGAATATTCAAATGACAGCTTCAAATCAAGTGGCAAAACTAAATCATGAATACGATTCATATATGCGTGAGCGACTCTCTGAAACGAATGCTACAATTTTATTTGGTCGTATGCTAGCTCATCTGAGCGAATATTCCTTAGCAATAAAATATTTTCAGCGTCTCCTACGTGTTTTACCATTTGAACATGGAGATCGACCCAATATACATTACCAACTGGCTCGCATATATCGTTTTTTGGGTAAACATCAACAAGCTATTTATTATTTTCGATGTGCTAAACTATTGCAACGACGTGATTTGCCTTACAATAGTTATGAATATGGTATGACATTAGCTGGTCTTGGTACTGTTTATATGGAATTGAATGATTCAAAACGAGCAGTATGTGTACTGGAACAAGCTAGTATTTGCTATAATCTTGTTTCACAGAACTATAATACTGAAACAATGTTTCATTTTAATCGACTCAGTTATGCTTACTATCTTGAACAACAATATGAACGAGCATTACACATGCTCAATAAAACATTGGCCATTTACAAGCAGAAAATGCCAGCCGATCATCCTGGTCACGCTCAGACTTATCATAATTTGGGTTTGGTGCATCGTGCGATGGGTAATAATGATGAGGCACTCGTTTCTTATCGAGAAGCTCTCAGAATGCGAGAGGCTCTACTTGCTCCCAATCATCCATATGTTGCTCGTACATGTTTTCAGATCGGCTTACTTTTTGAAGAACAGAAAGATTATAATGCAGCGCTTGAATACGGTAAAAAAGCACTTATCATTCAAGAAGTCAAACTACCATCTAATAATCAAGAACTCGGTCTATCAAGAGAGCTTGTTGGACGTCTGTTGGCTAAAATTAATGCGACTAAGTAATCATTTTTGTTTTTTGTTTCAAAGATAATAATGAATTTTGTTGTGTTTTAGGAGTGAATAATCTTGAAAGCGACATCAACTTTACTCCTTCAAAAGAATTGACGTATGTTTGGCAAAAGTGAACTAAAACTATCTAGTGACTAAATCAAGAGTACACTTCTATCAAGTCGTACTCTCTCATTTTTCTAATGTATATTTCATATACATAATTATATTGTTCAATCGAGCGATTAAAATTAGATGAAATATAAATATAAGAGAAAAAAAATGAATCATAACACAAATAATTCATCTGTACTTATATCCTAAGTANATATTTTAGTTTTTTAATTTATTTCAAAAAACTTGTGAATACTTCCGACTGATCTTCAGTCTATAATTAACACAAATGACAAGTAAATAATACAAAAAAATATTCTTATTATATAAACAGCTATTGTTATTTTCTTTTCTTTAACATTGTAATGCACAAGCAAATGTTTCTCTCCTCTTCCCCCCCCCCCGCCCCTTGCATTACAATATTAAGAAGAAAAACGAAAAGAAAATAATAGTTATACATATAATAATAACATTTTTTTTCTTCGTTTGTATCTTTCACTTGTTATTTGTGTTTATAATGGGCTGAAGATCAGTTTGAAATATTCGCGAGTTTTTTAAAATAAAGTCAAAAAATAGCATTTGATCAATGAATTCCTATTATGCGTAATTAGTCTCTAACAATAGAAGTATTGCTTAGGTTTTTAGTAGAGAATTTCACTGAATTTTTTCTAAAGTAAAGTTTGGTCAGGATAACAAGACATAGCTCAGATATTTACAAAATAAGGAGACGATCAATTTGATAGAATACTCATTAGAATGCTACATTGATGAGAAACGTCGCAATGTTCAACATGAAAATTATATCAACGAAAGTTTATTATTATTAAAGTAGAATAATTTACATATTCGTCAACAAAATAACCAACAATATATTGAATGATAAGAAACAATAAATATGAGTATAACTACTTATGTTTAGTGAATTCTTCTAATTGTTGAGAATGCATTATCATGAGAGCAAACTATAATTGTTGGAGACATTTACCACAATCCATATAATTTTGACTTTATTTGCATCTTTTGTCTGCAGTTGTTTTTATTATTTCGTCGTAAATATAATTGTCATATTTTGGTAGACTTTAAAAAAATTCAACAGACGAACGCTGACATTCGATAATTGTTTTTCGGCTTAATCATCTATGTATCTGTTCCGATGATTTCTTATCGTTAATACGCCGACATGTAAATGAAAGTGTATGAACAATGAAGAAGACCCTCCTCCCATATTCCATGGCTTTGGATGAAGTAATTATAATGACATTCTATCAGTTGTTCATACAAATAACCACATCCACCAGTTTTTTTTTCTATTTGAAAATCAATTTAGAAATTGGACTAAGCTATTTAATACCTTTATAAAGTTCATATCGATCGTATATTTGTATACAGTTAAACAATGATAGCTATTGAATTTATGTTACGTAACATTCACAATTAAAATTTAATTGAAGAAATTGAGCCAAACTCATCATAGTATTAGAGTTGAATATTTGGATCTCGTAAAAAGATATAATATACAGCTACGATAATAGTGAATGTTTGTAATCAATATTTGTTATCACAAAACAATAAATTAAAACGACTTTGAATAAATTTTCTGAATTAAGAACTGAAATTCTACTTTGAATCAGTGGTAATATTTATTACTTTAGTGATAAATTGCTTGATCACTCAGTTCGTGTGTAGCATTACGCACGACATACATAAACTATGTAACAGAACTCAATTTGTGTACAAATTATTTCAATGAAAGATCAAACTGTCCTTTATTAATTTGATATTGTAGATATAATTTTGTCATCAATAACGACGCATAGTTCAAAGATTTTCATCAGATAGCTTTTATATATCAGTAAATTACATTTACATGTATCATAGTAACTCGTCTTATCAGCAAATCATCAACCGAATTCTTGTTCATATATTTGTTTATTCGAAATATTATTAACTTAATCTAACTATGATGCTGATTTCAATGAATCGTCTGTTTTGTTATTGCTAGGATAGAAGTTCGCGTCCCATATAAATAATTATGAAAACAGTAATTTTGAGAAGGAATCATCCGTTACCTGTGAAAATTTAAGACACTCTAATGAGCATGTTACATGGCACAGAAGAAAAGTGTCAGCTCGACATATCACCAATCGATATTTCTGTGAGCACCTTGTGACAGAATGAAATCCAAGTAATACAAACATAAATCTGCAACAAACTTCTAGAAAACTCTATCTTATTAAGATTGTCTAGTCTGATTGGATCCCACTTATGGGTCAAGTATCCACTTCATCGGTCTTTATCACGTATGAATGTTCTCCTTGACAGTCAATCTTTCCATTCTATCTAATGCTAGATTCCTCGCACACATCAATATATCTCAATAAAAAAAAAAACTTTGAAAAATGAAGGTGAACTGGGGTTATTTTATGATGATAGATTATTTAGTACTCAGAAGTAAAATATAATACGATTGAGTACAATACAAGTAGGATACGGATGTGAGTGAAAGTAAAAAGATGGTTCATACCAATAACATTCAGTGCACTCTAAATAAAAAGCAGTACCTTACGAAATCGAAGAGGACTTAATATGTAAGCTGCCCAACCTTTTCAAGGTTTTCGAAACAAAAATGTTTTGCAGTTTTCATACTGAACTTTAGAAAGTTTTGTACTAAACGTTTTTAGATAATACATATCATTTGTCTGTGTTTTATTAAAGTGAACATGGATGAGTATGACAAGAGTGAAAGAGATGCACTCTCGCATATATACATCTCAAGAACCTACGCATTTTTGCAACGAAACTAATTAGTTTAGAATATTGTGTCCATCTTTAGTTGAGTTGGGATCTTTGAAATGGGATATCATTTATAGGATTCTGTGAAGGAGACTTCGCTCTACAACAGCTAATATGTCATGTAGTGACATTGTATTAGACATTTTGAGTTGTTTCTATCCACTTTTGATTGGGAGTACTCTTACCATTAGTCAACCGCAAAAGAATGCAAAGGTCTTCAATGTTTTGTTTTGGTATATTCCGTTTTGTAGACTTTTTCCGCTGATTATATTCATAAAAAAAAGCTTCTTAATTTCATAAACAAATGCTATCAAGTGATGCATTAGTGTGGCGGAGCAAAATAAGGAGCTGTGATTGTTGGCCAAAATGGTGAAGAAAAATAAGCAAACCAGTTGCAATGTCCTGAATTTTTATTGTTCGATCAAGATAGTCATCTGTATATTGTCGATTCAGGTAACCATCTTGTTCAGCGATTTTCAATCGAAATGAAATGACGTTTCTTTCCGAGATTTCATTATGTTTTGAACTTTTTCAAGTTGATTTTGAACAAACGAATGAAGCAATGCTTCTCATCATATAAATGCTCGTTGAAACTGCTCTCGAGGAATAAGGATGTTGCGTTAATTATGTGAAGGTTTATGCGCATGAATGTAAGTTTGATTGCGTGGGCCCGTATGTCAGTAGTGAGTGCAGATTTTTTCTTGACCTACACACGTACCTAAATCCTATTCAACTAATGGACTATTGGGGAGTGTCAATTTATATTTATTTTCATATATGTAACGCTAAGAAAACACTTCTCTACATAAAAAAACATAATATTTTTTTTTATTCATATGGCTTCCAGAAACATATATTTTATTGATTTCTTTCTATTTTTACCTACAGATTACATGGGATTTTTAATAATAAATGTTTTCTTCTTCTTAAAATAAGTAGGCAATGTATTTCAGTACAAATACGTCTCTAAAAACTAGAATGAAATTATATATTGACAAGAATGGTCGAATTCGATCGATTGTAATGATAGGAAAATTAACAATGCCTGAATAATAATCGTTTGATCAATGGAGACTTTGCTAGTTAATGTGCATACGAAGTAAACAATCGATGTTACAAAAAAAAAAACAGTTCTTATTTAGAAGTGAACACTAGAGGGCGATAGTACATATTATTTTGAAATACATTATACATAATCACAAGGTGATTGAATTTTTTGTTTTCAATTTTAGGTATCTACATGTTTCTGTTCAGAATTAAATTTTGGCTTTATGAATTGACTATCAAATCATGTAAATACTCTTTCATAAATGAATGATTCTGTCATCCTTAAAAATTTCAACAGAGTCAATGAAGCTAAGTACCATAGTAAGGAAAAAGTTTGAGCAATCAACCTGAATCTTATATGAATGACAAGTAACATTATAGCTTCTAGATTTGTTGAAGTGTTTACCTCAAAATATCTTTGATTTCTAATTACATCAAATTATTTCTAAAAAATTCTCGTCCTTTTTTCAGATTGTATGAATTTGTAATGGATTGAAGATTAATTGGATTGTTTCTGTTATTGTTTATAAAGAATAGAATGCTTATTGATGATGTTGGTCTACTCAACAACAAGTGATAGTGTTCATTTATTATTTTATGTGAACCTTATCAATACTTTTTTTTTTACTTTATCTTCTTGATAGTAATAGTGGAAGATATATAAGTTTTTCCATAGAAAATAAATAGATTTTGCAAATATATGAAAATTTATTAAAATATAATATTAAACCAGTCGCTACTTATGATAGGGAAGTTTAACTATCAAATCAATGATTAAATAAAAAAACGAGGTGCATCTCATCTATTGATTGGACAAATGTAGGAATCCGTAATTTATCATGAATGCTGACATAATTTTGTGAATACAATCATCAAAGTTTCAAATATAATAAGCTAAAAAAAATGGTAATAAAACATACTCTTTTCTTTTGTGTGTTTTACATAGATTTCAGTCTTTATCAGATATTTCATAGAAAATATACTATATTTTTTTTAATTGAGTAGATCGTACGAAATGACTCATTGCATAGTTTAACGCATATCAATCAATCAGCTAATAGTCGTATACCAAAATATTGGTGCTAGTAAACTATTTTTTTTTTGACATTGATTCGAAGATTA